TTCATCAAACTGATCAAAAAACTGAACTTTTATGATGTGTAGACAAAATCTGTGTTAGAGTAGGTATATGTTAATTGGTTTTTGTCTTCTGTATTTTGTAGCAAGGAATATATTAGGACAATAGATTTAGCACTCCAATAATTAGTTTGCAATATAAAGATTTGGATAAATAAGTGAATGATGGTGTATAAAGATGTATAAAATACTACTTTTTTGTGCTTTAGAATCTGGTATGCAGACGGCCGAGGAAACTCTAAAAATTTTCAAGTTCACAAATGTTGTACACGATTATCAGATTGATTCAATTTTGTTGGCGTTTAATTTGAAAAAGAATTAGGGGCTTCTTATTCACCTCAATTCAGCTGTGTGCTGTTACATTTTTGACCAAATAAGCTGTGTAAATAAAGTTCAACGTCGCCTGCGCTTGAAGTGTTTGGTGACCAGAGTTGTTGGATCCGGATCATTGTGGAGGCTCTGAAGCCTTACAATGTTACAAGTAGGTTGCAGAGGTTGTTTAGTCGATGTTTGAGTTCTGTATTTTCCTAAAAATAATTTTCTTCCCTTGGCGTTCAACTTGTCGACAAAGTCACATGGCATCTGTGTGCAATGACGTTCCATCGAGAGTTTAGACATGTGGAAAAGCCTATTGGAGGCCAACCGGAAGAGTTTGAGGTTTTGCCCAGTTATAAGCACTTTGTTTAGACAAGGTTTCCCCCTTGAGTTTGCTAACTTGAAGTATTTTTCATTTGTCGGTCTACTATCTCGCCACTGAGTCAAATTCCACCGACACGAAGCACACAACAACTCATCACCCAGCATTTTCCATTATTTATAACGTTAAAGCATGCACATACGTCTCCGTAAAGTTCCTTCGAAAATTTGAGAATTTGAACCGCCTAGAAGAGGACTTGCAACTACACACGTTACATTTCACAAGACCAAAATTTCCCTTGCAGCAGACAGCAAGCAAACAACAACAAAGGACTCTAAAAAAGGTTTTTATGAAGCACTCGTCGCGCACAGAAATTTCCCGCCATGCCCAGCCATTTTTGCGTGCGCACATTTTTTTTTATACCACACTGTTGCGAAAAAGAACTGATCGCCGTATTTAAGTTGCCCACCTGAAACGCTCGTGTTGTGTGCTCTTTCATGTGTTTATGTCTTTTAATGCCCTGACATCTTCATTCTTAACTGAGATGCACAGAACATTACCATAGCATTTTTTTGGAATTTTACAAGTGAACTTGTACATGGAGTAATTTGTCACAGTGTGATATTATGGAAATTAATTTATTGATCACCTAATGAAAAATGCTTTGATCTTTAAGCAAATTCTCTCAAATAATTCTGTAACCCTCTAAGCCCCAAGATCCACATACAAATTCTACAGACTGATCTCCACACATTTCTTGTAAGAATAATTGAGAGAATTAATTTTGGTGTAAGATCAAAGCGTTCTCCCTTTGGTAGATAATTTAGTAATTCTTATAACCTTCACTCTTAATGATCTGCTGATGTTGTTTGGAGAAAATTGATGTTGGTCACTCTTGAGACCTAAAGGGTTAAGGAACTGTAAGGAGATTAGTATGGAGAGGTCGTGCATGAGTCAACAAAAGACTGCAGATAATGACAAGAGACACCTAACTTATTTCTTTTCCAGGAAGAGGAGGTTGTTATAATCTTAGCTTTGTTATTACTAGTTCAACTGCCTTAACTTATTTTGGCAAATGTGTATTTCTATAGGGACAACCGGGAAGCAAGGGAAACAAAGGAGATCAAGGATACTTAGGAGAGAGGGTATATACTATTCTAATAGTAGAACCATGCAGTAATAACCAAAAAAAGAAGAAAAAAAATCACAATCTCAGGAGCTCAAGGTTCTTTTTAATATCATCTGTGCTTTCTTTCATAGGGGGATCCAGGAGACCCAGGTGACCCCGGTATGGATGGTGCCCCTGTAAGTATTTTACTTTTTAATACAGTTTAGTTGGAGTAGTTATAAAACGGAACAGTTCTCACACACAGCTGGCAGCCATGCCAAGCCCACCATGCAGCCCAAGCTTTAATATCAACACCACCAATCATTAGTATTGCATCACAAAATGAGCTAATAAACAGCTGACAAGAAAACTGAGACCGGATACAAGAACAACTAAGACTACAGCGCTACTTAAAAACACATGAAGGGTGGGTGGGTGGGGCAGGTCAGACAATAGCAGAAGGCAGCAAAAACAATTGAACTCTAAAATGGCATGTGACCTGAAGACCCTCTGCACTCTTGAACCCATACTCCCAGCCATGTGTGAGAAAAGCTTTTTCTGCTTCTTTCTTCCTCGGCCAGCGAAAAACCACACTTCATTTCCTCACAACAGTGAACAGAATGATTACTTACGATTACTTATCATTACATAATGGAAAAGCCCTCAACCAATAATGCAGTTAGAGTCATGTCACCCTCTCCTGTTTGCACTGTTTGCATTGTCACCCAAAGGACTTGATGCTTAAGGTCTTTATTAACTCTCTTTTTCCATTCCCTGTTTGTGTATCAGCTCTTGGGGTGTCATTTTCTTGAAAAAAA